GAGGGGGGGGGTGGGGGTGCTGCCCTTTACACCCAGCACCGGGGAGGCAAAGGCAGGCGGATCTAGGGGAGAGCGAGGCAAGCCTGGTTAAAAAGGGCTAGTTCCAGGAAAGAAACAAAAAAAAAAAAAAAAAAAAAAACTACAGAGAAACCCTGTCTCGAAAAATCCAAAAAAAAAATTAATTAATTACATTTTACGTTAGATTCTTCTCATGGCACATACAACTCACTCATGTTAGGTATTTGCCGAGGGTGTAAATATGCCAAAAAAAAAGTTTTTTAATTCCTTAAGGAGCCTCCATTTCCGAACTTCCATCTTTGAAGGAAAACAAATTTCTTCAGTGAAACACAAATACGGCTTTCCCCAAGTCTTGACAACTTTAAAATACTAATAATGGTTGGGCAAGCGTTCTTGAGTCTTCCGCACAGTACTTACTGATAGTGGAAGCCAATGTCATGATTGCCGATAACCACCTTCAGCTGCACGTGGCTGCCGTGCCTGAACATCTTCTGAAACCGCTGGACATCATCCGCCCAGGCCTGCGGGAACAAGAGCCACAGCTGAGAGCCTCAAACCCTCCTTCCTCCGGCAAAAACAGAATCCTGTTTTGATTAGAGAAGGCAACTCATCTTCTACACGATGACAAAGTGGTTTGGTTTGGTTTGGTTTGGTTTGGTTTGGTTTGGTTTGGTTTGGTTTGATCTTTCGAGACTGGGTTTTTTTGTATAGCCCTGGCTGTCCTGGAACTGGCTTTGTAGACCAGAGGTCGCCTGTGTCTGCCTCTCAAGTGCTGGGGCTGAAGGAGTCCACCACCACTGAGGGACCAAGTTTTAATTCTTTTCCAAGACATCTATTAGCAGTTGTGGTAAATGCAGTAGAACTTGCTACAGGAAGCTGAAATTTTTTCCCACTTAGGGACTCCACACTCAGGGAAGCCAGGATCATGGCTCATGACACCGAAAAGAGTTTCAGGAAGAGTCATGGGAAGCAGCGTCAGGTTTATCAAGTGTCCACAGTTTAGATTTAAGAGAAGGCATCGAGGGGAGGCTGTGCATGTGCCTGGACAGCGGTGTGCATGGCTTTGTGACTTTTGAAGTCACATTGCTCAAAAGATATATAATTTCTGTTCCCTCATGTTTAATTAGAGGCTGCTTCTAAGGAAGTACAGGGGTTTAGAGAATGGGTTTGGAGCCAATCCAGGACCTCTTTTGAATTGTTATACATTTTAGTTATTTGTGTCAGGGTCATTCCGTCTTCGCACCTGTGGCCGGCAGACTTGGCAGCAAAGCGCCTTCCCCTGCTGCGCTCTCTTTCCAGCTCCCGAGACTTCAATAGCTTTGGAGCTGCTCTGGCAAATGTCAATGGAGTCGTGACTATTTCCCAATAAAAAAAAAGTCTCTTTAAACTGCTGGCGCCTGGGAAGGGGCCAGACCTGTAGATTTACAGCTGCAGGATCTTCATGGCACAAGACAACAACAGGATATCCAAGAGGAGCCCCAGTAAAAGCCCAGGATTGAAAATGTAGCAGTGGCCTCGAACCAGACCAGTGACTCTGGACAATGAACGCTTAGATGTCTGGGCTAAAGTGTATGTGTGACTCATGGTGTCACACTCCAGTTTCCACACCGAGACTTTTTTTTTTTTTTATGTTAGTTAATTTGGTTGTTTTTGTTTGCGGGTTTTTGTTTTTCCTTTAAATTTTATTTTATTTTGGGGGGGGAGGATGCAGAAGGCAGATACAAAGGGACAAGGAGATGAATGGGATCAGGATGCATGATGTGAAAGCCACAAAGAATCCATTTTTAAAAAAAATGCCTTTCTAAAAAAAAAACATTAGTGGCCAAAAGTTTTTAATCATCAGCAGGGATACTCCTTGTTTGAGGACATAATAAGCAGAGCAGTCTGAGAGCTCTCGCCTTTTGTGGACAGATGTACAATGTCATCCCCTTACCTAGCAGGGGTCTCTGGCCCTGAGTACAGGGAACCTCACACCCGGTCCCTGTGGCTCCTTCTCCAACTCTCACACAGACAAAAGGAAGCAGAGGACAATGGCCAGTAACTAATTCCCTCGATGTACAGTTAAACAGGGGGACAAAATTAGGGTCAGGACTGTAGCTCAGTGGTAGTGTGCTTGCCTAGACACACAAGATCCTGGGTTCCATCTGCCATGCCACCAAAGGAAGGAAAGAAACCTATGGAGTGAATGTCTATCTCAGCATGTACCCTGGAATTCCAGCCCAAGGGAATTAGCACCATCTTGCCTATTTGTACTTTTCCCAGAAGGTTATAGGACTGTGTTCCAATTATATAAATGATATCAGCCTAACCACATATTTCCTGCATAGATAATAAAAGATTAGATGACCAAAAACCCTAAGCATTTTCAAGACAGACTATATTTGGGGGGCTAGGAACCAAACTAAGGGCCCCAGACAGGCTAAACACCTCGTCCAAAGGTGAGCGACACCCTGGCCATAAGAGCATGCATTTCCATCTTCAGAATTAGGAAAAACTCCCAACCCAAGCCGCTTAGAATGTCATGGACTGCCTAGGCTGCCAAACTGAATCCTTGAAGCAGATTCGAACCCAGATCCTACCTGGGGAGTGCTCCACTTCCCTTCATCAAAGATGTCCCCCAAAATGAAGACGACTTCTGGCTGCAGCAACCACAGAGCTGTCTGAAAGGCTCTCTCCATTTGCCACTCCCTTGAGAGAAATTAAAACATCAGTTCTTTTCTTGGGTAAAAGGTGTTACTCGGGCCTTCACGGTCATTTAGAAGGTCATTAGCCTGCTGCAGTCCTGCCTATGTGAAATGCCAGCACTCAGGAGACAGAGACAAGCAGAGCTCTACGATTTTAGGGTCAGCCTCGTCTACATAGCTAGTTCCAGGAGGACAGTCATGGCTACATGGTGAGAGCCTGTTATAAATAAGTCAATTAAATAAGTAAAAGCAAACACAAAGAATTAAATAATCCCATTCTCTGTCTCCCACAGCTCTAATCTTGATTTCCATCCCTCATCTTTGGAACAACCAACTGAGTTGCATCTGATCAAATTCAGGGAATTTTAGGCTGCTCTTCCCCAACCCGCAAATGCCCTAATACCATCAGTCCAACAAGAGAACTCCAGGGATTTGAAAGGACGTAGCACAGCTTCCAGAGAGGCCCAGTAGGTTTACACCATACCTGCAGCCTAGGATTCTTTCTTTCTGTTTTTTGTTTTTGTTTTTGTTTTGTAGTGTTGGGCATGCAGGCTCTACCAAGCTTCAAGCTCAACTCAAGCTTCCCTCCTTAAAAAAGACCTCAACTTCAGAGTTACAGGAAAACAAAGAAAGAAATAGCAACAGTAAATCCAGTCCATCCCATACATGGGTGATCGCCCTCAAGCTAACAGGAACCCTGAAAGGCATCTAGGGTGTGCGGTCTGACGGGCAATAGCTTAAAAGCCCAACTCCTGGGGCTGGAGAAATTCAGCAGTCAAGAGCACTGGCTGCTCTTCCAGAGGACCTGAGTTCAATTCCCATCACACACGTGGCAGCTCACAACCGTCTGTAATCCAGTTCCAGGGGTGGCCAACCTAGGTACAGTGAACATGGCAAACATGGCCCTGGCAGGCCTTGCCCTTCTCCCTGATTCCTTCTGCCTTGCTAAAAACCATTAGATTACTTTCCTAAAGTTAGCCCCAAGGTCTAGTCCATTATTTGGCCACTTCCTCCTCCTGAGGCTGACTGCCAAGACTATCAAAATATTGAAATCCAACCCCCCCCCTTTAGCTCACCTCATTATCAAGCCCAATTAAATTTTTTATTTTTTATTTATTTTCTTATTGATATTTATTGAGCTCTACATTTTTCTCTGCTCCCCTCCCTGTCTCTCCCCTCCCCCCATTCAACCCTCACCCAAGGTCCCCATGCTCCCAATTTACTCAGGAGATCTTGTCTTTTTCTACTTTCTACTTCCCACGTAGATTGTATCTATGTAAGTCTCTCTTAGTGTCCTCATTGTTGTCTAAGTTCTCTGGGATTGTGGTTTGTAGGCTGGCTTTCTTTGCTTTATGTTTAAAAACCACCTATGAGTGAGTACATGTGATAATTGTCTTTCTGTGGTTTACCTCACTCAAAATAATGTTTTCTAGCTCCATCTATTTTCCTGCAAAATTCAAGCTGTCACTATTTTTTTTTCTGCTGTGTAGTACTCCATTGTGTAAATGTACCACTTTTCCTTATCCATTCTTCAGTCGAGGGGCATGTAGGTTGTTTCCGGGTTCTGGCTATGACAAACAATGCTGCTATGAACATAGTTGAGCACATGTCCTTGTGGTATGATTGAGCATCCTTTGGATATATACCCAAAAGTGTTATTACTGGGTCTTGAGGAAGGTTGTTTCCTAATTTTCTGAGAAATCACCACACTGACATCCAAAGGGGTTGTACCAGCTTGCATTCCTACCAGCAATGCAGAAGTGTTCCCTTTTCCCCCACAACCTCTCCAGCATAAGTTGTCATCAGTGTTTTTGATTTTGGCCATTCTTATAGGTATAAGACAGAATCTCAGAGTTGTTTTAATTTGCATTTCTCTGATGACTAAGGATGTTGAACATTTCCTTAAGTGTCTTTCAGCCGTTTTAGATTCCTCTGTTGAGAGTTCTCTGTTTAGGTCTGTATTCCATTTTTGTATTGGATTATGTGATCTTTTGGTGTCCAATTTCTTGAGTTCTTTGTATATTTTGGAGATCAGACCTCTGTCTGATGTGGGGTTAGTGAAGATCTTTTCCCATTCTGTAACGCCCAATTAAAATTAAACACCTCATCCTAACAAGGGATTCTCCTTCTTCCTTTATAAACAGTCATTTTTGTATGGGCCATGTCTATCCAGAGGTAGTCCTTTGTTCCACTCCTGGACAAACATCCTGATCTGTCTCCCTTGTCCTCAACTTCTTTGTTTCTTTTCCCCTTTGTTTTTTT